GAGAGCCCCCCCGCTCCCGGGCGGCACCCAGACCAGTGGAAAGCAGCTCACCCTTCCGGCAGCGCCTCCGACCAGGAACCTCTCAGTGAGCCCCCAGAGCCGCTGCCGCGCCGGCAACAGCACCGCTCTGGCCGCCACCGCTGCCATCTCTGCTGGGCGCTCGGTGGGTGATGTGCTTCCGGGGTTGTGACCTGAGGCGGGGGCGGAGGGGCAGCCCAGAGGAGAGAGAGGGTGCCACCTCGTGGCCAAGGCGGGAATGACACTCCCGGAAGTGGTCACGGCGGGAATCTTTCTGCGCCTGGTGCTGAGCGGTCTACTGGAAATAATGCATTTGGGAGTCTGTAGAAGCCCCTGTGTCTTCAGTTACTCCTGGCGGCTGTGGCTCAGTTGTTTGAGCACTGTCCCTGCCCTGGAAGGTTTCCAGGTGGATTCTGGTCGGGGCCCATGCCTGGATTGTGGGCTCGATCCAGGTAGGGGGCGGGGCGTGCGGGAGTCAGCCGATGGATGTTTTGCTCCCACATCCGTGTTTCTCCATCTTCCTCTCCCTTCCTCTCTCTATAAAAGTCAATAAAATATATATTTAAAAAAGATAACCTGGTGCAACATATTATGCCATTGGTGGCTGAAATTGACTGGGAAAAGTGAGATAAGATCCATAACTGACTATCCTGAAAGGAAGCATCTAATGGGAGAGACTGGCTAGTGAGGGCAGGGAAGGATGTATCAGTGTCTACCCCTAATTACTCTTCAACCCTTTACAGTCTGGCTTATTGCATTGCATAGAAATTGGACTTGGTGAGGCCATTAATTGCTGAAAGATGGACACTTTACAGACCTTACTTACAGTTGTATTGGCAGAATTTGACATGACCTCTGAAATTTTCTTATAGCATGTTAGAGGTCCTCCTCCTCCTTCTTCACCTTCTTGGGCAGCTCTTTATTCACAGATCTTTTAAGGAAACTAAAAATAGCAAGCACTGTTCTAACTGTGCTATTGTTATGCTCATTTTACAGATGTAGAAACTGAGGTAAAATAACTGGCCTTAGGTCACAATGCTGATAACAAGCTGCCTGGCTCCAAAGGCTGTGCTCTTAAATAGCATAATAATTTGCCCTAAAGATTGGTATCCCCAGGGTTCTAGACCTAGGCCTCTTCTACTGCACATTGTTCCTGAGGGTTTCCATTTCCACCTAGGGACTTCCCTGTCTAGCCAACTATCCCTTTCCCTTGAGCTCCATGCTCACTTAACCATTCAATTACTAGACAACTACATCTGAATATCCCATTGTCGCCTCAATATCAACTTGTCCAAAATGCAATTCACTGTCTTGCTCCTAAGTCTCTTCCTGTAATAGCCAATGCAAAACAGCCACTGATACCTCCATTCACCCAAACATTCCAACCAGAAACCTGGGTTTCATCCTCAAGTCAAAGTCAAATTAAAACCCCAATGAGATACCATTTTACCTACACTAGAAAGGCTAAAATAAAAAAGTTAGACAATATCAACAATTTTTGAAGATATGGAGAAATAGAACCCTCATGCACTGCCGGGGGGTGGGGAGGAATGTAAATGATACAACCACTTTTGGAAAGAATCTGGTGTTTATTCAAAAAGTTAAATATAGCCCTGCCCAGTGTGGCTCTCTTGGTTGAATGCTGTCCCATGCACCAAAAGGTCCCTGGTTCCATTCCCAGTCAGGGCACATGACCAGGTTGCAGGCTCAATCCCCAGTAGGGGGCATGCAGGAGGCATGTTTCTCTTACACATGGACATTTCTCTCTCTCTCTCTCTCTCTCTCTCTCTCTCTCTCTCTCTTTCTCTCTCTCTCTCTCTCCTTTCCTGCCTCTCCAAAATCAATAAAAATATATATTTTTTAAAAGTTAAACATAGAGTTACTATTTAACCCAGCAATTCCACTCCAAGGTGTTTACCCAAGAGAAATAAAAGCATATATCCACTTGTGTACTAATAAGTCGTAATAACCAAAAGTTGGATACATCCCACATGTTCATCAGCAGATTAATGGATAAGTAAAATTTGGTATATCCTTGCAACAGAATATTAATTAGTAATAAAATGAAGAACATATAAATGCGACAACATGGATGAACCTTGAAAACATTATGTTAAGTGAAAGAGGCCAGTATATTCGATGATATATGAAAGACCATATATTTTATGATTCCATTTATATGAAATGGAATAGACAAATCTATAGTAGATTAGTGGTTGTCTAGGGTTGGGGAATATGGGAGGGTTAAAAGTTGACAGTTACTGGGAATGGGGTTTCTTTTTTGAAGTGATTTAAGTGTTCTGAAATTAGTGGTGATGGTGACACAACTTTATGAATATACTGAAAGCTACTGAATGGCATACTTTAAGTGGGTCAATTATATAGCATGTGAACTATATCAATACAACTGTTACCAAATATTGGACAAAGGATTTGAATAGATATTCGTCCATAAAAGATATAAAAATGGCCAATAAACACATAAAAAGATGCTCAACATCATTATCCATCAGAAAAATGCAAGTTAAAGCTAATGCTAAGGTACTATTTCACACACACTAAGATGGGTATAATGAAAAAGTCAAACAGTAACAAGTGTTGACAAGAATCTGGAGATATTTCAACCCTTAAAATTGCTAATGGGAACATAAATGATGCAACTGCTGTTGGAAGCAGTTTGGCAACTCCTTACCATTTGACTCAGCAATTCCATTCCTAGGTATATACATGAGAAATGAAAATATATGTCCACACAAAAATCATACACAAATGTTTATCATAGCATTATTCATAATAGCCTAAAAGTGAAAACAACCCAAATGTTCATTAACAAATGAATAAACAAAATGTGGCATATCTGTACAACGGAATATTATTCAGCAACAAAAAGGAATGAAGTATTGATACATGTTACAACATGGATGAATTTTGAAAACATTATGCTATGAGAAAAGCCAATCACAAAAGGCCACATATTATATTTTCCACTTATATGAAATGTCCAGAATAGGAAATCCACAGAGACAGTAGTTTAGTGGTTACTAGGAGCTGGGGGCATGGAGAAATGGTGAATGACTACTAATAGATATGGTTTTATTTTTAGAGGTAATGAAAATTTTCTGAAGTTAGATAGTGGTGATAGTTGTATAACCTTATGAATATACTAAAAACCATTTTATTTTACATTTTAAAGGGGTAATCCTATGGTATATAAATTATATCTCAATAAAAAAAAAATGCCCCAGCTGGCATGGCTCAGTGGTTGAGCATCGACCTATAACCCAGGAGATCGAGGTTCCATTCCCAGTCAGGGTACATGCCCAGGTTGTGGGCTCGATCCCCAGTGGGGGGGCATGCAGGAGGCAGCCAATCAATGACTCATCATTGATGTTTCTATCTCTCTCTCCCTCTCCCTTCCTTTCTCTGAAATCAATAAAGACATAATAAAAATAAATACCCCAAATCTCACCATCCAAAAATTATTGCCATTAATATTATGGTAACGTTCCAGATATCTTTCTATGCATGTATATGACTAGAAAGGTAGATTGAATGGATGGATGAATAAATGGATGGATAGATGGGTGGATAGCTATATTGATTGAGTGTATAATAAATGCTCTTTAAAAGAATGAGATAATACAATAGACACTATGTTTATTAAAAAGTATCTGGATATCTTCCTTTTGTCCCCATGTTGCAGAATCACCTCCCAAAATTCAGGTTTATGTGCCTGATGCCCTAGTTGGCCAAAACATTGAGACACCGGTGCTTGGAGACAGAGAAAGGTTTATTCGATTTGGCTAAGACAAGAAGACGACAGAACAAAATTTCTCAAATCCAGCTCTCTCAAAAAAGCAAAAGTAGGGAGTTTTTATGCAGCTATGGGAGTTGGGGGGTGGGAGGAGTTCCAGGAAACTCACAGACAACACTTTTTTCACATCAGACTCCTGGGACTCAGCAGCTGGTGACAGAAACCTTGAAAACATTATTTCTGCAAAACAAACTCATAAATTCTCCTTGTGACCCTGAAATTATCTCCTCCTGCTTAACAACAGGGCACACATCAGCAATTTATGACTAGATTCATGAGAACAAAAAGAGTTGAGCAGGAAGAGCGGGTAACATGTGAACAAAGGCCTAATTAAGAATCAAATTATTTTGTTTTAGCTGACAAAAATACTAGGGACATTAAAATCACAAGGGGCTTGGCTATACCCACCCCTCACCTTTATCCATTTTATTCTGTGCTTTAGGATGGTGACCTACATAGATTGCTTGATTCATTGGGCTTCTAGTTGGGTTTAGTCAGTAAAAGCGACCACAGGACACAGCAGGCTGGAGAAGTGAGGTGGTACATTTATTCCTCAGCTTTCTCCCTGGCGGTTGATGCATTTCTCTACGAAGGGCCCAGCCTTCTTCACACAGCTATCCTCTCTCTGTTCAAGCGTCCTTTCCTTTCCCAGCTACCTTTGAGACTAAGTGGATACAGGTCTCAGCTATTGCTACCTCTGCAATACTGTAATCCACCTCGTTGGTTTCTCTAAACCCTGCCCCTACATTTGTAAATAGTTCCTTTATTAACCCCTCTTCAAATTGATGGGGAACTCAAAGAAGTTAAAAAAAAATTAGCTTTGATTATATGGGTAATAGGCTTGATAATTAATGCATGTAAAAAGTTACTGTTCCAGGAACTATGACTGAACCAATGCAGACTCCGGGAGGCCTGCAAGCAATTCGACCCTTGTGCCCTGGAAGGACTGCAAGCTACCAAGATGGGATCTGACCCTTTGTGCTCCAGGGAGAGAAGGTCCACTGCCCAGGATGCAGATAAAGAATCACTGGTCAGCAGAGGAAGGGATGCTCGGAAAATGACCAGACCGCAGCTTTTATCTGAGTAACCTTTTACCTGATTTCCAAACCCCTTACCTACTTTTTCCTGAATTCCAAACCCTTTCCCTACACTTTTCTTCTCCTCATAAAAAAGGCAGACTTGAGATGAGATGTAAGATGGTCTTTGGGGTACATAACCCGCCATCTTCTCAGATCGCCGGCCATCTGAATAAAGGGCCCATAGAGAGTCAATTCTGGTCTCTGCTTGTTGGTTCTGGTAGTGATGGGCAGCACAAACACCGACCTTTCC